GCCGGGCCTGGCGGACCGGCGGGAGCTGGCCGCCGCCGGGGCTGCCCTTCGGGGGGATGGAGGGCGGGGGCGGCCTCGGGACGGAGGGCTGGCGGACCGGCCGCGTCCGCGCCGGGACCGTGCGCGCGAGGAATCGCGGGAGTGGGGCCCCGGGGGCGGCGGGTGGGGGTCCTCCTCCGGCCGTGGGGACTGCATGCTGGCTGGCCGAGGCCCGGGCGGCGGGCAGGGAGCCTGTTCCCTTGGGCCTGGGGCCCAGAATTCGGGGCGGGGGCGGCGTGAGAAGGGGAAGCGCCCCCGCCGCTGCCGCCGCCGCACCTCGGCCGCCGCGCGGTCTGGGACGGGTCCACCCCTGGCCGGGCAGCCCTCCTGCCACTCCGGAGCCCTCGCCCGGGGTCACTGGGGCAAGTCCCCCCAACGCACAGCTGAGGGAGCCGCCGGGCCACAGATCCGCGCGGCCCATCAGGACGTGGGACGGGGGCAGGAGGTCCTCGCCCCATTGGGCCGGGCGGGTCAGCTCAGTCCCTTGCGCACCCACACGGATGCTCGCAGCCCTCCTGTGCCGTAGAACCCCCGCCCGGTTCCCAGTTGCTAATGATGTGCCAAAATTAAACTGGTAACTTTCCCTGCCCTTGAACCCAGAGTTTCGGGATGAGTTTGCTAATCCCGTGCTATTGGTTACCTGCCCCGTGACCCGTGACTCGGATCCAGCTGTGCCAGTTTCCACGCCAGAGGTCATGGCGCTGTGGAAGGTGCGTCAAGGGCTCAGCCCAGGCACAGAGCGCTGTGAGCCCTGGGGACCTCCTGGTCCGTGCCACTTCTCCCTGGCTCCCTGTCCACTTTGCCTGAAACCCAGTCACGAGTTAACGCCAACTGCATAAACATTTCTTAAAGCGCGCACACTTTGCATGGGTAACACAGCAGTTGTTCCCAGGGCTTCTCACTGAGGCTGAACAGTGAGTTCGGCTCAGCTAAGGACCGGAGGTGGGAAGAAGACTCTTGAAGGGGTCAGAGGCAGGCAAAGAGGGAGGGGCGGGGGCCCTGGGCTCTGAGGGCTGGGGTGGATAAGAGGGAACTTCACCAGGGAGGCAGCCTGGACCAGTTCCAGCCGCTGGAATTTGCTGGGGGCACTGGCCCCAGTGGCCACATTGGCCTTTTTCACAGCCAGGGTGCCCTGGCCTCTGCGAATCTCTGCGGAACCTGAAGAAGGACCTCTGATTATTACTATAATGAATAAAACTCACAGCCTGAGCCCTTGCTCTGTGCCAAGTTCTGTTACCTGCTTTACCTCCAGCCTGTGGTTCTTCACTGTGTCTGCAGCAGCTCAGAGACGATTGGAGCCAGAAGGGAAGAGGGGAGCTAAAAATCAGTTGTTTTTCAGTTGAGGAAAGTGAGGCCCAAAGATGTCAAGTGACCTCCACAGCTGATTAATCTGGAGCAAAGGCCAGGACCAGATGTACTGTTTATTGTTCCTCCTGGGTACACTTGTCACCCAGAGAACACACAGCACCGTGAACTCAGAAAATGGTTTTTTATTACATGGCTTTTTAATTGTGATAACAAAACAGGCACTGTTATCCCGGGGGCATTGCCGCAATCTGCGTCCGGGTGGAGATATCCTGGTCAGAGTGTCAGGATATGTCACCTTCCCGACAGGCCTCCAAGTACACCTGGCGAACAAGCAGATAGCCAACAGTGGGGACTGCCCCACAGGAGCCGCACGGGGCTTTCTAAGAACGCAGGCCCTAACTGCAGGGTTTGCCCTCTCTACACAGGCCTGCTAGCAACTCCTTCTTGCACAAGAGGGTTTCCATCTCTTTTCTCTGCTCATTCTTTCCTTCTCCTTGCTTGAAACTCAGTCTCTGGCCACGTCGTGTGCAGACCTGCAAGGGGCCTGTTGATACAGCTGCCCCTCTGGTGCCACACGACTGCAGGCTGGCCACACATGACAGGCTTGAATGTCCTGGCACCAAGGACAATCAGATTAGCCTCCACTTGGGATATCTGCTGCTTGGGTTGTTTGTGTCTTTTGGAGTCCTTGGACTAAATTAGACGCCTTGGAAACTGATCATCGGTCAAGCATGAAAATCGTACCCACCAGCCTTCCAGGTGCTCGTCTTTGTAGCAGACCTGTTCTTAAGAAGGAGACTGGATGACCTCTTCGCTGTCTAAAACCAAGTGGCCTTTTCCAGCCTGTGTGGTAGTGAAAAAAGATCAGCCCAGACTAAATCCTTAGAAAAATAGCATCAGAACAAGCTTAAAAAAGGCAGGCACCTTGAATTCAGGAAGTGAACTCAGAGGGCAAAGCCGAGGAATGCACTCGTTTGTTCATTCGGCAAACATTTATTGGGAGCTGAACATGTGCCAACAAACAGAACACAACATCCTGTGCCCTCGGGGAACTTATATTTTAATGAGAAGGAGAAAGACGAAAGACACGTCCACCAGACAGGGTATTAGAAAGCAGTAAGTGCCGTGGAGAAGAAGAAATCACGGAAGGGGCCCGGGGAGTGCTGGGGAGATTCCAGCCTCAGCTGGGTGGTTCAGGAAGGCATCTCGGAGACGGTGACATTGCAGCAAAACTGGGAGGGAGTGAGGAAGCAAGTGTGGGGATTATCTGTTACTGCATAACAAATTACCTCACAGGGGTTTTTAGCTGAGTTTGATGTGATCTGACTTATTTTTAAAAAGAAAACGGTGGCTTCTTGGTAAAAAGAGCCTGAGGAGGAGGAAGGGTGAAGAA